GTCCCCTGGTTAAGGCTTCATCCACTATGAATATCTCATCGGTAAACGTCTGTTCATAACCTTTTTCAAAAGTGCCTTTGGTTTTAGATAGTCTCACGTGGTCACCTTTTCTAAAAGGGGCAACAACTGGTTTTATTTTAAAACCATCTCCGTAAACCGTTTTCCATACCTTCCATACCTCTCAGCAAATTGCCCTTAATTGGTACTCTCAGTGGTATCCCATGAGAGCACGCATTGTTACAGAAGTGTAAAGGGGATCACTTGCACCTGTAGGGAGCCTGGTGAGGTCACTAGCTCAGCACTGAGAAGAAAGCAACAGTATAAAAGGCTGAACCAGGGAGCAGGAAGTGGGCTCCTAGTAACTGCTGCTATGCTGTGATGCACCAGAAAAGATAATAAAGACACATGGTGGAGGGTCCCTGGCAGACTGCAGGCTGCTTAATTCATACAGAGGTCTGCCAGCCAGGGGCTGCTGGAACTGATGGGGGAGCCCATTCATACTTAGACATTTAAAAATGAAAATTGCATGCAATCTCTTCATGACATTTCATGCTGTAAATTGTGAGTGACAACACATTTTTATGTCTTGTCAGATAGGTTAATATACAACATAGTTTTACTATTTGCCAACATATTTTCCCATGTAATAACAAAATGAGATTGGATAAGAAGCCACAGAAATTACACATAATTCAGTGAGAAATAGTGAAAGGAACGCAGATATTTCTGAAGGAAATTTTAAGGAAAAATTATCTATTTTTAGATTAACATTTCCCTGTATTAAAAACTAGGAAAAACACATAGCTTCAGCAGCCCTAGACAGCAGCAGACTGGATAAAAACACAAATGAATCCATCAAAAGATAACTTTAGGGGAGGGGTAGGCAACCGAAGGCGGCACGCATGCTGCTTTTCAGTGGCACTCACACTGCTCGGGTCCTGGCCACCGGTCTGGAGGGCTCTGCATTTTAATTTAATTTTAAATGAAGCTTCTTAAACATTTTAAAAACCTTATTTACTTTACATACAACAATAGTTTAATTATATATTATAGACTTACAGAAAGAGACCTTCTAAAATCGTTAAAATGTATTACTGGCACGCGAAACCTTAAATTAGAGTGAATAAATGAAGACTCAGCACACCACTTCTGAAAGGTTGCCGACCCCTGCTTTAGCGTATTTATTTTCAAATAATCAAGGTAAGTTTAGGGCACACTGACATGAATGGCATATTGTAAATACATTTTCAAAACTAAATTATTACATTGAAAATGTTCATAACGCATCATGTTTAAAACAGAAAGTAGTCCCAGCAATGCCATGTGAGATTGAATCATCAAACTGGAGCATGGGTACATGATTGAGTAAATGGGGTTTGTTTGTCTTGTTTTAACGGTAAATTGATTCTTTTTTATCTGTGCAAGGGAGATGATATGAGAAATCAGACTGTCACCCCTTGTTTGGTTCCCTCATACACTGCTCAGCTAGCTCTTCAAAAAATTAGGTTCAATGGCTAATTTGAAGGAATTAGACCAATCAGTCACTATTTTTACAGAGCATTCCTGAAAGTGGTGGACAGAACCCAGAGGAACTGAGATTAATTTCCTGGAGCAACTTTATTTTCTTTGTACTCTAACCTCACATGACAACAAAATATCACCCTTTCGACTGATTTATGGCCAAGAAGAAAGGTTTCCTAATAAAGCATCACCAAATTTCATGTTATGTATCATCAAATGCCAGCATCTTTAATACAATGAACTTAATTTATGATGATTCAGTAAAGGTATACAATCCCGTCTGTTTCTTTACCAAACTTCATTTGTTGCGTCCTTAGAACCAAGAACATAAAGAGCCCAGCAGTACATTGAAATCAACAGTGGACACTGACACTATTATTTGCAGGCAATGTACTTCTAAAGAAAAATAAACTAAGAAAAGGATATTGTAGAGATTTCTATGTATAGGAAGATAGCATTTGAGGTTCCGGACCATGTTTTCTTAATTGATGTGAGAACAAGAAAGGAAGGATCATATTTCTTACCAGCATCACCCTGTGCCAGGGATGGAGCAAACACAGCGGGAGGGGGGAAAATCTGTCTGGCTCTGTCCAGCAAGTGGGACCCATTCTGGGGTTGCCAGGTCTCCGGTTCTCGATTGGAACCTCCAGTTGAAAAGGGAAACTGGCAGCGTCCAGTCAGCACAAAAAGTCCAGTTACCTGCAGTAACTGGCCCCCACCACTGGGGGCGGGAACAGCAACAGCAGCAGCAGCACTGGGTGGGGCCAGTCTGTGCCATGGGGGTCACTGTCAGGGACAGAGATTCCCTCCGGCCTGAGCTGGGACGGGGCAGATTTTCAGGGGAGCTGCGTTTTTACCCCAAACATAGTAACCAGGACTGAAATAAGGATGGAGCGTCCCAGCGAAGGTGTCAGTGAAAGTGAAGATACGGGACCTGTCAGTCACATTGTAAAACGAGACCTCGCCCGCCTCATAGTCCAGGAAAATCCCCACCCGGCTGGGCCTGATGCTCACGGGGAGGGAGGTCGAGGGGGAGGTGAGGGCCTGGTATACCCTGGCCCTCAGGCACACGACCCAGTACCCATTCACAGGTGTGAGAGTGACCTTCCCCTTCCTGCTCACAGATTCCCTACAAACCCCCAGGTACCAGCCTGTCTTGCCTCCCACCTCCACCTCCCAGTAACGCCTCCCGCCCGTGAACCCCTCAGTGCCCAGGACCCAGATATCATGCTCAAATCCCTCAGACTTGTTGGGCGGATCCCAGGCTGCATGTCGTACATGTTTCTGATCCTCAGACAGGACGAGGTTGGGATGAGCTGTGTCTGGATCCAGAGTCACGCCCACTGGGGAGAGAGTCACAGAGTCAGTGCTGGGGGCAGGGGGTGGTCACTGGCATCAAAGGGAAATTAACCTGCATTCTCATCGCTCCCCGTGGTGCCTGCCCCCTCCCCCTGGCACCGTCCCCTGAGTTCTCCCTCCTGCCCCTCCCGTCACTCTCTGCCCCCTTGACACCAGCACCCCTCACCCCCCCTAGTGTCCTCGTGCCAGCCCCTCCCTTCACTCCTCCTCTGCCCCCCTGAGTTGCATCTCTACCATTGCCCCCATCTGCCTCCATGATGCCTGCCCTTACCTTCCCCCCTTTGAACCCCTGGTGTAAGCCCTTTCCCTCACCCCATCTCTGCCCCACTGGTGCCCACCCCTCCCTTCCCCCTCTCTCTGCCCCCCTGGTGCCCACATCTCCACACCCCTCTCTCTGCCCCCCTGTGCTCACCTGTTTCCTTGCCCCCACTCTGCCCCCTGGTGCCCATCCCCTTTCCTCTCCTTGCACCTGCCCCTCTGGTCAGTCCCCACATTCCTCCTGGTGCCTGCCCCTTTGCTCGCCCTCCTCTGTCTTCCTGGCACCCACCCCTCATGGTTTTCTCCACTTTTATGACTGCCCCTTTCCTTTGCTCCGTTGCCCCTTGGGGTCTGCCCCACCCCTCACCCCCCCATGACCCTCTGGCACCCGCCCTACTCCTCACCCCTCATTCTCCCATTGTCACCTGCACCTTTCCCTGCCCCCTCCTTTTCCCCTGGTGACAGCCCCTCCTTCTACCCCCCCTCTGCCTTCCCAGTGCCTTTCCCTCTGTTCACCCCTTATATCCCCTGGTG